GTAGGTTTATTTCATATATATATATATATATACATCACATTCATCACAGTTTACTTCGATGAATTTCTATCTCTTGTCGTTTTCTGTGTTTTTCTTCAACTGTGTTTCCTAAATTATTGAGTCTTATTCCGTATGCTTTATAAAATCTTTGATGAACAGTTTTTTTGTTTGGACGTAAAAAACGAAGAAAAATAAAAATGCGACGAAATTGTTATGCTAGTTTTATTCGTGAAGTATCTTAGCATAGAGTATGATTATTGTTCGATGAGACGCATGATTTTACGTAATGTAATTTCTATGTGTAATTGTCTTTTGTCCAGGTGTTTTGTTTGATGCAGATGGGCGTTCTTATATACTATTGCTTTTTAAAGTTTCTATTTTGATTACTTTTAACGTGTGGTTGTCTCTATATGATACTTTGCAATGAGGAAAATCACGGATTCATACACATATGTTGATGATGGAGAATCGACTTCAAGCGTATCATACTGGAGACTTACATTAAAGTTTTAGTTTAATTTTGACAGGTTTGGGGCTCTTTCAGTAGCTTTTGGGTGTGCTCTTTTCAGAATTTAAACTAGTAACTATTATTCGGTAAGCTTAGTTAATAGTGTGCTGATAAAATTATACCATTTTGTCGCTTTCGGGATTGTGTTTGTGAAACCTATCAATGAACCTCTACCTCACAATGAGCTTTCAAAGTTTGTCTCTTTCCATCAACCGGAGTCATACACTAGGGGATTCTCTTAGGTGTCGTTTTGAGTTTTCTATTTTTTCACAAGTCTTAATGCATGCCTCCCAAAAAGAAATATGTTCCTCCCATTAAACCGAACGCTGACGGAACGGGTTTCTGTAAGACGGGTGGCAACATCCAACGACGTGGCATGCCTGCACAGCCGCAGTCACGAGGGAGGGAGGCCGCTCTACCGTCAACGCCATCTTCGAGATTTCGCAAAACATCATCAGAGAAAAGTGCACATGGCGGCGCTGGTTCAAGGAGTGTAGACGATACCTTTACAGAAAGGCGTGAGTCCAAAAACCGACAAAATTGTAGCATGCCATTAGACTCGGGTCCAGGTGTCGATCCCTCACTTGGTTCAAACAATATGAAGGGTTCATCCAACTCCGCTGATAATAATATTCAATCTAAGGGCTGCGGTCAACATGATGGTAAAAGGAGAGGCTTCGTGGCTCCTGCAACTGAGGTGAGCCTTGAGCGTCACAGCGTGCCGAATAATTTGCATTCCTTGAAAGAAGACGCTGAGGTGGTAAGCAGCGTTGTATTGAAGATTCAGTACGACGCAGCGCTGCTGGTAACGGAGTGCCGCCTGCATCCAGCCTCTTTCGCAATCTTGGGGCTTACTAGCGGAAGTGTCATCAAGATGAGTGTGGACGGCATGTCGTCCCCAATAGCGTATATGCAAGCCTTTCTTAGTACGTCCGTATCTCGCGGTCGTGCGTTGGTGTCGGAGGATTTATCCCTGTCCACCTGTCTACCTTTAAACGCATCGGTTTCAATCACTAGCGCTTACGAAAAAACTTGTCTTTCCGCTTATGTGTCGTGGCCATCCATCACGAATCTTCTTATAAAATTACGTGTGAGCGAGCAGAATAATGACATTGGCAGCAGACAGTCGTTTTCTTCTGTATCACTTTCGACACAGTGGCGCTCCCTTTTCCGGAGGAACTTTCAGAATCGTTTTGTTTTCAAAGGCATGTGCGCGTCGCTACGGCATTTTTTCCATACTGTTCATGTGGAAGTATGCGAGGTCCTTGTGGCGATGAATGAGGAGGCCGAGGCGAGCGAGCAGGTCCCCTTTGGGGTTTTGACTAACGCCACACGAATTGAAATAATGGGCTTATTGGAGGATCCGCCAGATGATGTAGGTGCCCCCGAGGCGAGCGCAACGGCGGCAGACTCTCATTCTGCTCCCTGCACACTCCCTCATTTTTCCGCCGATTCGCACGTGCTAGTCGTGGGGGAATCTGGCACTGGGAAAACGTACACAATCGAGGAGCTCGCTGCGGCCGATCGCGACTCCCACCGGCGCCACGTCTTTTTCATTTCTCCCGAGGAGCTAGCACAGGGTTTGGATAGTGAGATCCGCACTGCAACCGCCCTACGCGAGGAATTTCAAATGGCCAGGCTTTCCTCACCTGCGACGATTGTCATAGACGATTTGGATACGTTGTGCGGGGGCGGCTCGCAGGGTTCATCCTCGTCTACGCTTCAGTCTTCTGTGGTAGGCTCGGAGTGGGCTATGAAACTCTTCACGCGCGTTCTCTGCGAGGAACTTCGACAATTGCATGACTTGAGCGGTGGGGGAAGCCCACCAGTGCGCGTTCTAGCCTCCGTGAGGTCGCTCACGGGACTAAGTCCTTCCCTCTTAACACGGACGCGATTCGCGCCGGAGAGCATCATCACCTTGCATCCGCCAGCTGATGCGGGAGAGAGGTACGACGTTCTGCTAAGCTGCGTTAGACGTCGACTTTCGAAAAGGTGGGGGGAAGCGGAGGCCACCGCGTTTGAGGCTGCTTTCCGCGAGGTTGCCAAAAATGCGCACGGCTTCAATCAGCGGGACCTTTCCCGTGTGATTGATTTCGCGATGATGGAAAGTTTCAAGCGGCGGGGCACCACCCTTTTTGAGGTCGAGGACCTCTATAAGGCTGCGAAGACCGTGCGCCCCTCTGCACTCGGCGGGTTTGAGCTTTCCATCCCAGAAGTGACGTGGGACGATATCGGTGGTAGCGAGGAGGCGAAGAAAACGTTACGGGATGTTGTGGAATGGTGCCTCGGGAAGCAGAGTTGGATATTTAGCCAGTTTAACCTCACACCACCGAAAGGCGTTCTTCTCTACGGGCCGCCAGGGTGCAGTAAGACGATGCTGGCCAAGGCGCTCGCGAATGAGAGCCGTATGAACTTCATCTCCGTAAAGGGGCCGGAAGTGTTTTCAAAGTGGGTTGGAGACAGTGAAAAGGCGGTGCGGGATATTTTCACCCGCGCACGGGCGGCGGCGCCGTGTGTGGTGTTCATCGATGAGCTTGATGGCATGTGCGGGCACCGAGGCCAAGGCGGCGTCTCCGACCGCGTCATTTCGCAGTTCTTAACCGAGCTCGATGGGCTTCCGTCATCTTTCAATGAAAAGAAGCACGCGCTGGTGTTTGTAGCGGCCACAAACCGCCCGGACAGCATCGACACTGCTGTTCTTCGCCCGGGGCGCATTGACCGCCGCGTGCACGTCGGCCTCCCGAGCTACGCCGAGCGTGAGGCGATTGTTCGCATTCAGTTTAAACCTCTCCCTGTCGCCCCCGATCTCGATCTAGCGTATATTGCTCAGCGAACCGAGGGATACACTGGTGCCGAAATTGTTGCGGTTGTGAATGAAGCTGCCTTTACAGCCATCTCGAACGATTTGAACGCCGCATACGTGTCCACGGATGACGTTGATGCTGCGCTTAGAAAAGTGAAGCCACGTGTTGATCCCAAGGATGCCGAATGGTACAAAAACTGGCCACATAGCTATTGATCTGCTCTTATCTAACTAATGATAGAAAAAAGATGCGTATAAATCCTTGCCGATGGCATCTGAGTAAAAACATGTCCTCGTCGAGATTGGTCTTGCATAATAGTAAGCAAGGAAGTAAAGTCTCAAACTAAACCAGTACCCATCAAGCGTAGCCCAGCTAAGCTAGGGGTCGAGGGGAAGAAATGGGATCTTAAACTCCTCGATTGTGCTGAGTGATATCATCGTAAGAGTGTTTATGTACTTCTAGACAAAAAGATCATACCACTTTTGGCTTTTACTCATTCTTTGATTTGATTTTCTCAAGAAAAAGGGAACCGTGGCTGTGTGTAAAGCGGGAGGTGGATCAGAAATCCAAATAACAAGCTCAAGTAATCAGGTGGACACGTAATGGTAAGTTGGTAAAACAAGAACATGCTAAGATGCTAGATATTCAACCTCGTCCAAGCTCAAATGGCATCCCAGAAACATCAGAATTTTATATAGATGAGAGTTATTCCACATACCGACGTTTGGTTCGAACAATCGTTTGCGGTAGTCTGTTTGGTCTTGGGTTCTGCATTGCCACCCCTACCTCGCCACTTATGAGACTGTCTCTCACCCAAGAAAATAAAAAAGATCTTGTTCCGAGAATGATGAGGGATTTCTTTTATATCAGCTTCTCAGCAAGCGCTTTGACATATTGGTGCGTGATGGAGCCTTCGATTACCAACCCCAAAGCAAAAGAGGGTTTCATGCCGTATTTGGGCCCATTAACAGCTGAAATTCCAGCCCTCAGTTGCTTGGTTGCTTCACATCTGTACTACCCAGGAATCGGAGCCCTTGTGAATGAGGTGACTTGGCGAGAAAGGCGAAAGGAATTTGTACGCCTGAACCTCAAATGTTTCTTTGCTTACGCTCCCGTTCATGTTCCAGCGACTTTACTGATTGGTGCCAGTTTGGGTTTGATTATATTTCCATTTAAGTTTATGAAGCAATACTCATACAAGAACGCCCAGCAAAGGATACGACAATGATGGTGTGCCTAAATTTGTCCTTCTCAAGGCGCGACGATGTTGGTGTCTGTTTGAAATTGTCATAACGCTTCACATAAGTTTCACTTATATCATACTTAGCGCTTCTTTTTTTATTAGTTATCCTCCCACTACTGGAATGAAGGATGTGGTTTCCAAGTATATATACACAAATATGTATGTATGTATGTAGCTAATTCTTTCATTGAAATGACTTGGGCTTTATCATCCAGTTTTTGTCCTTTTCTTGTAGTATTATTTTATACATTTTAAGTGCTTGAGAGAGATCAAGCGACAACCATAAAAAGTCCGTTAGGGAAGCCCAAAATGCCTTCCGAGCTCTGCTTTTCTTCTAAGACTGTTTGCCGAATTGAAGTCCTGGGCAAGGTGTCATCTTTAGCATTCGATTTGCAGACCAATGCATGCCTCGCGGTGACCATTATGAACGGGGCCCACGTGCTTAACCTGGATGACCCCGCCAAGGGGGTCCATTCTTTCGCGGCGGTCTCCGCGTATAGTGTCGAAAGCTACCCCTACCACTGCTACGGTGGCGAACCCCTGCTGAGTGGTTGCTTTTTAAACGATCAACGCCTCGCGCTGGGGTCCTCAACCGGCACGGTGTCGCTGCTCTCTCGCCGCTCGCACACCCTCGTAGGGCACTACACGGTGGCGCCCGAGAGCCCTTCCGCGGGGGGGAAGGACCTCACCGCCCTCCCCATTCGCACCCTCCACGCCGTGCCGCACACCCCCACTTCCCTGCTCCTCTGCGTGCGGGCCGGGGCGACGGTGGTGGACGTGGAGCGCTGCGCGGCGAGGGAGGTCCTCGAGAACCTCGCCCCCCGCGCCGTCGCGGCCGTCCCCCTCGCCCCGGAGAACTTCCTCGTCGCGAACTACGACGGGAAGGTGCTGCTCTACGACACGCGCTACGGCCCCCGGCCGCACACGGTGCTCTCCATCCCCGACCAGATCACCGGCCTCGCGGCCTGCCCGGAGACGGCGGGGGTGTGCGCGGCGACGGTCGCCGGGCGGGTTTTTACCCTCCGCTGCACCCGCAGTGCGCTGCGCGAGCAGGCCTTCGCGATGGGCCGGCGCCGCTCCCCGATCCGCGCGGTGGCCGTCTACGGCAACGCCATCGCCGCGGGGGACCTCCTCGGCCGCCTCGCCCTCCTCGACGCCTCGGACGTGCCGAATCC